TGCAGTCTCTTGATGACGGACAGAGCATACTGTCCAAAATGTTGACTACCATTTGTTCTTTTCAGAACCCAACATACTCAAAAAGAAGACATATCCGTGGTGCTATCGCAAACCTATCAACATTGGAGTTTACTTGATGGACAGATACTTTGAAAGTCTTTAAACTGTTCATTCTAAAATGGATAACAAAAGATTTCTGTTCAAATTTAAACACACAACACAGCAGTTTGTGGGGAAAGGTTCAAACAAATGAAATACTTTGAGAAGAAGCACTGTAGATACTTTGTGCATGTAGTTTAAATTTAAACAAGAACATCAAAACATCGGTTTTAACATAGGCTGAAAGAAAAATATTTCCTTGTAAATAAAAACTAAAACATTGCAGTGAAAAAAGATCAACAAGCATGCACACAAAAGACACTTAATTTTTCTGAGTCCTACCTAGAAAGAAGGCAAATATTGCATTTAAAAATCCCACAGAAATGTTGTACACCCAATAGCCTGATACCCAAGAGACTGATGAGAAGGATTGACGTCAGTTTGATGGTGAATTAAGTACAATGTTATAATAAAACCATTGACAGGGAAACCCACAAATACATGTACATTCAACAACTAGGATGGACACTTTGGAAAAATTAATGATCCATGATAACATGAAATAAAACCTTGCTGAACCATCAGGTGATTAAACTTCTAAAAATATAATAGCAAGAATTAAACAGTCAGACAGACAAAAAACATGTGAACACAATGCCCCTTAGGTACCTCATCTTCACACAGAGCTACTAGCTAACTTATATCTGCCCCGAGCTCAATCGGCAAAAGAAAGACTGATGGTTACAAGCGGGTTCTTGTATGCGTTATGCATATATGTAAAGACTGTACATGCCAGAAAAAATCTGTTATGCGTACTCAGCATGCTCCGCCTCAAACGCGCATATACTTGCATGCATTGGCACGCCAATGTGGTGAGTACCAAAAACATGCCCTCTTTTGTTCCACTCGGAGCAGATTGACGCAAGGCAAAGATAAGGAGTGAAAACATGTTTGACTACAGGGAACCAGACTTGGGGTCTTTCAAACAGTCAGGGTACTTGAATACATAAATTTACAGTAACAAAACAGCAACTGTGACAGTGGCATGACAGCTGCAAGAACTTCAGTAGAAAATGCACCTTTGCTGGTGCTACTGTCGCTAGTGACCGAGGCGGAAGTGGGCTGGGCAAGAGAGGCTATTCCACTATCTGTCTTCCCTCCCTCCAGAGAGGCTGCCCTTTGCAGGGCCGTTCCATCCTCTCCCTCTGCCTCGTCCTTTTCCTCATCAGAGTCACTGAAGAAGATGTCACTGAAGAAGTCCTTAGCTTTGTCAAAGAAGCCTTCAGAGTCACTTTCGTCCAAATCTTCCTCTGACTTGGTTTCTGGCTGGAACTGTCTCTCTGCTTCCATGGGACTACCGATATCTAGAATCAATAAAAACAAAGATGATTCATGACTGAAACTCAAAGAAAATTTCTCTAGTATTTCATAACAATTATCTGCTACTGATGTCACACACTGTATATGGGAAAGCTCCAGTAAAATCCAAAAATTCAAACCACAAGAAAAAAAATTAGTAGTCTAAAAATATTAAATGTTAACTTGGCAATTTGCACAAATTCATGCAATGTTTCCAAATTTGTTAATCTGTATTATGAAAGACTAAATCAGATGCTGATAAAAATCTGATATAAAGGAGTTATTATCTGCTCAAGCTCATCTACGACCTGTGATCTTTTCAGTCTCCATGACCTCCGACCTTTGTCATCTTCATTGACCTCTAACCCTTACCACTGCTCAGGAAGCTGCTGCTATAATGGCCGTCCCATTCCAGCTCAGCCTCATCCTGTGAATCACTCTCTGTATCACTCTCTGTGGCTGGGTACGAGCCTGGGGGTTTGATCATTGGCAAGACGCCATCCATGCTGTCACGTTGACTGCATGGGTTAGAGTCATACAGGCTGGTACAGACAATGGGATGCCCCTCAGCCTGGCTCATCTGTAAAACATCACAAGCAAGCTGTTTCAAAGATACTGATAAAATATTTACAGTTGGGCAACTTGAACAGGAACAACTATGTAGAGGACTAAAACGCTCTGTTTGACAGAAGTGGCTG